TTGTTTTTCAAGACATGGTTTCTCTGTGTATCCCTGGCTGTCCTGGAACTCACTCTGTAGACCAGGCTAGCCTCGAACTCTCGAACTCAGAAATCCGCCTGCCTCTGCCTCCCAAGTGCTGAGATTAAAGGCGTGTGTCACCACTGCCCGGCTCCAAGACTGCTTTCTATGGCAATGATTCACCTGTAATCTTGGCATCAAGAAGCTGAGACAAGAGACCTCATATTTGAGGTCAGCATGGGCTGCCTCCTGAGACCCTTTCTCAAGACAACAACAGCAAACAGAACCCCTTCCCTCAAGAGAAAAAGGATAGGAATGGAGGCTAGACCCAAGAGGGGCTTAGACATTTGAGGCCACAGAGCAGGCGGGAATGGAGAAGTAAGGAGTCTCATGTTGAAGAGAAGCTTGTGGAATCGTCTGGAAAACACGGACTCCATTCTGTGTCCAGTTTCCTCCACACTTCTTTTCCTTTATCCACAATGTAGTCTACTGGAGAAGACAGACTCCAACCCCAAAGCCTCGGCCACTGTGGGCCATGCTACAGGATGTAGTGGGCGGAGCCAGCTCAAAGAACCCACATGGGGCATTTGGAGAAAGCTCCCAAGAGGAAGTGATGCGTCAGCTGAGGCCTGATGAGTGTGGTGGCACCACCCACCCGGACAGGGTTTCATAAGGCCTCTCACCAGATCTTGACCTCACCTGATCCTCAGACCTGGTGGTTTCCCTGCAACTCAGGAGGGTCACCTCCCTTCTTTCTGACCCTGTCTCTGTTTCCCTTCCATCTGGGTATTTGGGTGATGCCGGAGGCTGGGACCTCCCAGCTGGCTCCCTACAGGACATCTTCCTCCCAGAGTCTGCTCAGCATACCTATTTCTATCGCTTGCTGTTGTCTCTCCTAGGAACCAGTCTATTGTGCACGGACCTGCCATCTTTCCTTGTCCTCTTCAGAGCCTGCTCTGCCCTCTCCTCATCTCCTTTGCTCATCTCCTAGTGACTTTTTCACCTCTTGTCCTCTCACTCTCCTGTCCCCTCCCAGACGGAGAGGAATCTGTATCCAAGACTCAGCCCCTGCCTTCCATGTGTCCTGTACTTGCAACCAGTCATTATTCTCCCTGCTAATTTAACACTGTTCTGGCCTGGACATGTCCTGCTTCCAGTGAGGGCTGTAGTGAACTCTAGTGTCTGTAGATAAAGTGTGGCTCCTACGAGGGCAGGAGCCATTCCCGTCTCTTTTCTATCTTGCTCCTCATCTCTGTCTACGACTCAGTGACACTGAAGGATTTCCTGCTTTTCCGTGTCCTTGTCAGCTGCTATAGGCCCTGAGAAAATGCCCTCTTCTGCAAGCATCCACTTCCAGACCCTCAGTAGGGCCACTCTCAACCATCTTTGTGTCCGTCCGGGAAACGATCTCTGACTTAGTTTATCTTATTTATAGTTTGCTCGTGGTATTGTTATTTGTGCTTTTGGCATTTGGCTTGTATTTTTCAGAGACAGGGTCTCATGTAGCCCAGGCTGGCCTTCTCCAGCATTCACCTCTCAAGTTCTGGGATTGCAAGCACGCACCAATGCTCCTGGCTTATGTGGTATTTGGGATTGAACCCAGAGCTTCACATATGTTAGACAAGCACTCTGACAACTAAGCTATATTTCCCCAACCCTTCCCAAATCTCCCCCAACCCCTATAAATAAGGTCTCATGTAGCCCAGGTCGGCTTTGAACTTGTAATCCTCTTTTCTTCACCTCCCAAGTGCTGGGATTATAGAGGTATGCACTACCACACAAGTATTTGTGCTTGTGTGTGTTGACATAAGTTCTTACTGTAACCCATACTGATATCTACAGTCAGCAAATCTACCTGTTCTAGCTTTCCAGGTGCAGGGATCACAGCTGTGAACCACCACCCAGTCTGAGGATTTGTTTGTTTATTTATTTATTTTTATTATTTTTTTATGCTAGGGATCAAACCCAGGGCCCATACATACTAGGCAAGCACTTCCCCTCCCCCCAGCTACATCCCCAGCCCTCCCCTGAGTACTCATAATCAGGTCAAGGGTTCAGGTCCTTAGACATGTGTATGTAAGTTCCTACATGCTTCTGCACATTAACACCCCAATGAGCAAATATGGAATAAAGGCCGGAATGTTGTTTCAACAAGATCAAAATACATAAAGCACAAAATAAGTCTTTTTCTGATTTCACTGTTGGGAAATTCACATTCAAGTGGCACAATTATCAAATCTGGAAACAAAGACCCTGGCTTATTTTTTGTTTTATTTTCTTCTTTGAGGCACATGCTATATATGTAGCCTGGGCTAGCCTGGAACTCACTATGAGTCTAGCTGTCCTCACAGTGGACAAGTACTAGGACTTGGCCACTAGTACTCTGCTGTTTTCATCCATTTCATAGTAACTCTGAATCAGGCTCCCTGCCAACATCCTGGGGGCGAATCTGACCAAAGTCCTATTGGTCTGTTAATCTCTAGATGATGAGAAATCAGATAGACTGAGCTAGGCAACACAGCTTTGACTTTTGGGAAACACTGTGGTTTAGAAGGGTCCTTTATACCATGAAATCTATAAACCTTTAACATTCCTGTCTCTCTCTCTCTCTCTCTCTTCTCTCTCCCTCCCTCTCCCTCTCCCTCCCCCTCCCTCTCCCTCTCCCTCTCTCTCTCTCTCTCTGACTTGGAGTTTCTGTTCTGTCCTTGTGGCTCACGCTTCCAATTCAGTGAACAGAATTGACTGTGCTGATGTAAGAGCAAGCAGGCCTGCCCAGGCCTGTGGGAACTCTGCAGATAGGAAAGGGCAGGTCTCCACAAGGTGGTGAGTGTGGCCGTCTGGGGGATGGGGATCTCAGTGCTCTACTTTGTGACCATGTGAGGCTGTGCAGAGACATTCAGGCCCCTTTGGGGGCTTCTTATAATTCTTACACACATACACATGCACATTCGCGTGTGCAAGTGCACACACACACACATGCATACACACATACAATATACACATGTGTACACATATATATCTCAATATACAAACACTATCTTTCTCCTGTCTTCAGTCTCTCCTTTTCATACTCTCTTCCCACCCTGCCCCCATAGCCCAAGTAATAGAAGCCAGAAAAAGGTACTGCAGAAATCCAATGGCTCCCAAGCAGGCTGGCTTTGTTGTAGTCCTGGAAAGGCAGGGACAGGCAAGAAAGCAGAAGAACAGAGCAAGTGTTGGCTCAGTTCCTAGGGGAAGGCCTGGCTGGTAAGGATAGGAATGGTCTTATGGCAGGTAGGAAGTCTCAGGATTAATACATTCACACACACACACACACACACACACACACACACACACACACACACAC